TCTCAGACTTTTCCTTCCTTCATACTGCCTTTCTTTTTCTTTCCTTCTTTGCTTTCTTTTTTTTTGGGGGGGGGGAGATGGTCACTGTGGATTAAACCCAGGGGCGCTAACCATTGAGCAACATCCCCAGCCCTTTTTATTTTGAGACAGGGTCACCCTAAATTGCTAGGGCCTCACTACATTGCTGAGGCTGGCCTTCAACTTGCAATCCTCCTGCCTCAGCCTCCTGAGCCACTGGGATTAGAGGTGTGAGCCACCATACCTGGCCCTTCCTTCCTTTAGAAAACTCCTACACAGGGCTGGATGTGGTGGCACATGCTACAATCCCAGCAAGCCAGGAGGCTGAGGCAGGAGGATCACACATTCAATGCCAGCCTTAGCAAGACCCTGTATCAAAACAAAAGATAAAAAGGGCTGAAGGGCTGGGATGTGGCTCCACAGTTAAACATCTCTGATTCAATCCCCAGTACCAAAAAAAAAAAAAAAAAAAATCTAAGAAAGAAAGAGGAAACTCCCACACAAAGCCAAGTGCAGTGGCACACCATACAACACCCAGACTGGGAACTTCTTTAAGACAAGTCTGGGTCAGATGTCAGATTCATCTTTTTATTGGTCTCGCCATGTTGCCCAGGTTAGTCTCAAATTCCTGCCCTCATGCAATCCTCCTGCCTCAGCCTCCCGAGTAACTGGATATACTGGTGCATACCACCCTAATTAGTTCAGAATCCTCTTTATAATGAACCTGTCCCCCAGTCCGGCCCAAGAAAAGACTTAGAGGAACCCCCTGTGAAGTTGCACTAAATTGAACTGAATTGTATTTGTTTGACTGAACCCCGTGAGGGTTTGACCAATGTCTTAGCCTTTCACTTCCCCTGGAACATAAAGAGGTCTTGGAACACCTGAGGTCTTGAAGATGACCAGGCTGGGAAGGTACCCAGGGTGGACCTGTATAGCTTCGTTGGGGAGAGAATATGGTGTCAAGAAGCCTGCAGCCATGAGGCCAGGGGCACCAGGGTGACCTCAACCCAATAACCAGACACTCCCACTGGGTACCCATCCTGAGAGCTGCATACCCCAGGTGTCTACATGTGCACCAACCAAATGTCCAGACACACAGAGAACCAGGTATCTCCAGGTACCAGATGCACAACCACACAGGTACATATGCAGCCACACATCACACCCACACCAGCCACAGATATCAAAATGTACATTCTCCATCAGCATCATAGCACACACACACCCAGCCGGGCACGCACAATGAAACACCAACAGCAGGCGCGGGCAAGCAGGCCTCCACTCACAGTGAAGGAAGCTAAGCCCACCACTGCCCGCAGATGGGGCCTTTGCACGCACACAAGAATCCTCTCCATCATGCTGATTCACCGAAGCAACCCCCTCAGCCCGGGCTTCCTCCTCATCAACCAGGGAGGGGCAGCTGCTCCCTGGGGGCGGATTGATTTATCCAACTAATTAGCCCCAATTAATATTAATACACATTCTCAGCAACTGCAGCAGCTCGAGCAGAGAAGCTGCCCGTTGGGGCCATCAATCACCATCCAGGGGACGGCAGAGGACGCTCAGGAACTCCAGAGCACAGGGACTGCACCTCAGGCCTTATCCCCAACCCCCACCTCCAGGGCTCCCAGAGGAATTCTGCCACCATTGACCAAATCTAGGGACCCCCAAATAGTATGAGCCCTCCTCTCCTCCAGCAGCTGGGCAGCCCAAAACCCAGAGAGGAGCTGTCACATCCTTCAGGCCACACAGTAAATCTTAGGTTCAATCTGTTTGTCTCCTTGCCCCTCCTTCCCATCCTTCTCTCAACCACCCTAGGGAGGGTTTGCTGATACACCCAAGGCTCAGCTAATCCCAGCCCAGGCAGCCACAATGACTGTCTCAATGCCTCCTTGAAAGACTTAGCAGGTGCTCAGGAAACATTTTCAGAGCTGAGTAGAGCAGGGGTAGGAGGAAATGTACGCACTAGGTTCCTGTCTCAGTGAGGTTTGGGTGTGCTCAGAGGCTGAAAAAGAGACCAGGCCTCCTGCTTCCAGTAGCTTTGTTTATTTTTTTAAATTTCTACAACTACCCCAGGTGAGCACGTTACTGAGCCATGTGCTGAGAACAGAGAAAACACACTACTCCTGTCCTCCAGGGACTACAAGGACATGGATGGAGGAGGAGATGACAAGGACATAAAGAGCAACAGGGGAGATGAGGCTCCCTGGCTTCTTCAGGGGACTTCTGTCCTGAGAAGGGATCCACCTACTGGGATTGAGGGCCAAGGTTCCCTGGGCTAGGGGGTTCAGGGACTGATGGCTACCCATCTGCTGCCTGAGACGCTGGGCCAGGGTCTCCATCTACTGTAGTACCGCCACCTCCAAGTTTCTATGTCCTGGTGATCTTGTTCCTAGCTAAGGGAATGCTAACAGCCAGCAGTCCCCTACAGAGCCAGCAGGAGCATCATCTCCAGGGAATAAGACAGCCAAGCCACCTCAAGCATCATGGGACCTGGGTGGACAAATCTGCTTCTTCCTCAAGAGCACCTCCTGCTTGTTTGTGAGCTACATTGTCAGAGCTCCCACCCGCACCTAGGGCATACTTGTCCATCGGGCCTCCCTTCCAGTGGGGAGATGGAGTCCATGGTTGGGTGGGGAGGGGAGGTGGAGGAAGAGCAGGAAAGACATGGGAGATTGGAAGCTGGGCCCCAGCCCTGGGTGTGGGAGAGTCCAGCCTCCTCCCAGCCAGTTCTTTCTTCCTGGGGAAGTTCTGAACTTCCTGGTGGCAAAGACTCCCCATTCTCTTGGGCCACACAGAGGAAAAGGCTTTGGCAGAGATAAGCCTGAAGAGGGTCCTGCAGCTGAGCAATGGCAAGGCTCTGACCTCACCTCCTTCACGTCTTGCTCTCAGACACCCCTCCATTATCCTAATCTGATCTGTCAGAGTTTCAGATCAAAGCAGTTGCTCCTCTGCTTTCCTGTTGCTCTCAGGATTGCCAATCCCTGTGTTCCACATGAGCAGGCACATGGAAGCAGACTGAACAGGCCTCGTTTGCCCAGAGTGGACATTCTGAGGAGGCCTTTGGGGCCCAGGCAGAGAGGAAAGGAAGGAACAACTCAGGGAGCAGTCAGAGATCTTGGGACCATCCCACATCCACCCAGGTGAGAGGATGCACAGGAGTGATCCTGGGGTCCCCGCCTCCCTTGTCTGCCGGATCTCCCTTCCAATGGAGAGATGGAGCCTGCAGTGGGTGGGGAGTGGAGGTGGAGGAGGAAAGACGTGGGAGATTGGAAGCAGGAGAGCGGGGAATTTGGTTGGAAACCTTCTCCTCCTCAGATTTATCAAGACAATCTCTGTCTCAAAGAGAGAGAGGCATGGCCAATCACAGCAGAGTCTGCCAGTCACTGTGACCAGGAGAATGGCAACTCCACTCTCAAGACTGGGAAGTTGGGAGGAGCAGCAGATTTGGTGGGAAGGAACTGAGTTTGTGGTTGTTGCTGAGTCTGAGCTCCTGAAAGTCATGTAGGAGTAGTCAACAGTTGACTCAGTGGTCACAACCTGAGTAACAGGTATAACCCTGAGTCATCCACCTTCCTGACTCCATCATCTCCAAAGCACCTATGGAACCGTCCTCTGTCCTTCGGCCACTTTCCTCCCCAGCCCTGCTCCATCCTCACCAAACTCTGCTGTCCCCTGACATCCCCAGCTCCTTGGGTTGTGTGGCACACCCCATGACACCCTGGACCCAGCTACCTCATATATTCTTGGGTTGCACCACCCAGTACATCACCCCACTCAATTTCTCCTTCATGCTGTGTTGTTCATTTGTGTGCTTATTTCCTTCTCCCCATCTAAAAACTAAGTTCCACAGAAGCAAGGACCTTTAACCTTTTACAAAGTGCCTGGCACAAGATAGGTGCTTGATTCTTCAGTGAAGGAGTGGTGGCCTTTATCTGTCCCTCCTCAGTGTATCTCTACTAGTTCCTTCCTAACAGCATTGGGCACACTAACTCTTTCCTCTGTTAAGGGGAAATAAAGGACTCTCTCAAACCTACATCCAAAACAGTCACTGCCCCTGCTTTCTTCCCTGTCCAGCCAAGTTCTCAAGCTCTCCACACTTCCTGCCTTTGTCACCTTCTGCTGAGAGCCATAGCCAAATAGGAGTGACGCATGGAATTTTGGGGTTGAAAAGTGACCCTGCTCAGGGATTAGGGTGGCTCCAGGTTTAGGGTGGATCCTGCTGGGAATAGGGCAGCTCCAGAATTAGGGCATATCCTGCTGCCTCAGACGCCCGCTCTTTGGAGTTCCCGTGGAGTTCTCGCGGGGTTCTGAGGGAATTGGTGCGCGGAGCCGGGTAGAGGCAGTGTATTCCCGGGAAGTGAGAGTAGAGTGTCGGTGAGAGTCCGGGAATAAAGAGTTGCTGTTTGAATCTACAAGGCTTTGTGGTGGCTCGGTTATTTTGTGCCCAGCCAGACTGCGGCAACCTTCCACTCCCTCCTCCACCCTGTCAAGTGAGGCTTCAACACAGATCACCGCAGAGAACTCCACCGAGTTGCATCGGCAGCATTTGAGACCATTGGCTTCACCCTTCTTGAAACACACTTTTGTCTTGTAACAATGCAGTTCTCAATGTCACTTCCTCCACAAAGCATTAAGACACACTCCCTTGAATACACATTGCAGGTAAGATAGGGTTCCACTTGGTGTTATTCTCATAACACCTTGGACATCCACTTTATTGCACTTTTTTTTAAAAGAGAGAGAATTTTTTAATATTTATTTTTTAGTTTTCGGCAGACATAACATCTTTGTTTGTATGTGGTGCTGAGGATCGAACCCGGGGCCACACGCATGCCAGGCGAGCGCGCTACCACTTGAGCCACATCCCCAGCCCTGCACTTTTTTTAACAGTTCTTTTTAAAGTATTTATTTACTTATTTCATTTTAGTTGTAGATGGACAGTATGCCTTTATTTTATTTATTTTTATGTGGTGCTGAGGATCAAAACCAGTGCCTCACACATGCTAGGCAAGTGCTTTACCACTGAGCCACAAACCCAGCCCTTTATTGCACTTGTAACAAATATTTTGTGTGATTACACATTTGATTTCTGCTTGCTAGTAGAACAAAAGCTCCATTCAGGCAGGGCCTATTTCTTATTGCTTACTCTGATGCACTGTGGGAGGAATCCATCATTGGATGGATGAGGGAGAGGAGGGATTGGGGGGATAGGGGAAGTGGGTGAATGAGGATCTGTGGACCAGGAGAAAGACCTACGCTGGGTATAGAGGGGAATTATTTGTCTCTAGGGACACTAACCAAAATTCTGAAAACAAATAAATGCAATAAAAGTCAAGGATCAGGGACTGATGGAAAATTCCCTATTGAGGATGAGAAGAGGAAGTAGTTTTGAGTAGCCAAAATGGGTTCATCAATAACAAGCCTTCACTGGGTATCCACTGAGTACTAGGTACAGTGCTGGGTGCTGGGTGCTGGGCACACAAAGGCTAACTTTATTACAGTCTGGACCCCAAGTGACCTCACCAGCCTAAAATGTCCAGGGTCACCATTCTAAACCCAAGTGTGGGAAATTGAGGAAGATCTAGCCAAGTCAGCCAGCTAGAGAAATGTGAAGGGAAGATAGACCTGGTTGGGAAACTCATGGCTTGATTATGTCTGTCTCTAAAGGATACAGCATCAGTAGAGGAACACAAGTACATGGGTGTTACTTCTGTCTTCCAAGTGGTTGTGTCACCCAGCACACAGACAAGTACCCAGAGCATGCTTAATGCCTGTTCTTGTAACTGAACTAATGAGCAAAGTACACAAAATTTGGAGTGAACCATGTGGTTTTCAAGTCTTTCTGTACCCCTTACTGATTTGCCTTAGACAAATCAGCCACCCTATCTGAACTTCAGTTTCCCCATGTACAAAATGGAAATAATAATGCCCAATTTTCAAATGATGATGGGCTATCAACTCCACAGTCTAACAGATGTTGGATTCTATCATTAAGACACAGTCCCTGCTTTAAGTCATGTAGGAAGCACACTTTGTGGGAGGGGAAGGGCCCTGGTGATTGAACCCAGAGGCTCTACCACTGAGCTACATTCAGTCTTTTTTTATATTCGAGACAGAGTCTCACTAAACAGTCCAGGCGGCCTCCAATTTGCAGACCTCCTGCCTCAGGCTCCTGAGTAGCTGGAATTACAGGTATGCACCACTGTGCCCAGGTTACAAGGTAGCACTTTCAACACCAGCTGGTGGAGTTGTGAGGGACAATCATCTGACCCTGAATAAGGAAGTGGTCTTGAAGTGGGGAGCAGAGAACATTCCAGGCAGGTGAGCTTGGGGCATAGAGTTGGGAGATACACATGGTGCTCAGAGCTGCCCTCAGGCTGAGTGACCAGGATGTAGCACTTGGGAAGCCAAGGAGCTGAGGCCATTACTATGCCAGAGGCAGATCAGGTAGAGTACAGCCTTGTGGGTCACAGCAAGGAGTCTACACACTTGGCACAAGTGATACTAAAGACCCTAAGGGCAATCAGATGTGCATTGAGGAATGTCCCCTTACTGCCATGCGAAGGACAGAGATATCAGCCTGGAGGCAGGATGGTCAGGCAAGGTGCTGTGGCCGTGGACATGGTGAGTGGGGAAAGGCAGCAGCCTTGGACTTGGGGCTTGAGGCCAGCAGACTGGCAGGCAGGAAGGAGGCACTTCTGCTCTCTCTCCTCTGGCTATGTGCTCAATGTGCTTCAGCATCATGGGATATCAGAAAGGGCCTATGTAGGCCCTGACAGAGGCTTACTCAGGTTTTAATTCAAATCCCCCATTTCTAGCTAGAAAAATGGGACCTTGGGCAAGGTTCATAATCCTTCTTTAAAATGGGGCAAAAATGCCTTTAAAAGGGTTAACAGGAGAATTAAATGACATGACTCTAAGTGACTGGAGGTAGGTGCCTGGCTCAGAGTAGGTACTTGGTAAATGTGGTTCAGAATGCTTGTCCTCCTTTTCTCCTAATCAAAATTCACCTTATAACTCCATGTATTAAATATTCATGGATCTTTATTACCATACCTGCCTGCCTTCCTGCCTTCCAGAAATATCCTCCAGAGTGTAAGCTCCAAATGGACAGAAGCCAGGCTGGGGATACAGCTCAGTTGGTAGAGTGCTTGCCTTGCATGCTCAAGGCCCTAGGTGAGCCAAGTCTATCTTATACATCACTGCAGTCCCATCACTAATACAGTACCTGGCCCCCACAGCAGATGCTCACTTAATTTCACAGAATTAATTGAGCACCTTCTCAGCACTCTTTGTTCTAAGAATATAATCATGAACAAGAAAAAGTATAGTTGTTTTAGTGGAGGAGACAAAAGCCCATAAGTGATTTCAGATAGTGACAATACACTAAAAAAGTACAAAGGATGACATGTTAGAAAGTGACCAGGTAGGTCATTTTACAAGCTAGTGATCAGAGAAGGTGACTGAATATTCCAGGCAGAGGGAACAGCTAACACAAAAGCTCTGAGGCAGGGACCAGCTTGAGATGATCAAGAAACTGAAAGCTTGTGTGGCCAGAGCACAAGTGACGAGAGAAAGAGACCTCCAAGACTAGAGAGGTGGACGAGAGCACCTCTTACAAAGCCACATGCTCTGTAAGACACAAGGAGAGACTGGATTTTATTCTAGGCCAGCTGGGAAACCATTGGAAGGACTTTAGCAAGAGATTCCCATCTGATGTACACTTCTGAAGGATCACTCTGGCTACCCTGTGATACATTGGGAGGGGAGGATGCAAGCAGGGAGCCCTGCGGGGTAGCAAGTTATCGCAGTGCTCAGATGAGAAGCTTACACAAGAGCACAGTGGTAAAAAAGTTACACAGGGGATACTCATGTGCTCTGTGACCATGTCCCCCTTCCCTTGGCGGCATGGAGGCCCTGCCCTTTTCTATCCTTCCTGCCAGCTCTGATGGCCAGGGGAGCAGGCATGTTGGTCATGTCCATCTGCCCCAGGAGCCTCTAAAGGATGGGCCAGGCTTGGTTCAGGTTGGTCTCTAGCTCTGTTCAGCTGCAGGTTGGATGTGGCCATGCTGAGCCTCCAAGGGCTGAATCAATGAGCCAGTGAAGGAAGATGAAGGAGCAGTGCCACCAATCTGCAGCCTTGTGTCTGAAAGCACGATGACATCAGCAACTGAAAGGGAAATGGGCAGGAGGAGGAAGCTGGGGCAGATGGCAGGTGGCTCTATGGAATGACAGACAAAACTACAGCAGCGGTTACAAGGAATCAGGGCAAAATAGGTTGGGCCATTGAGTCAGCTCCAAGGTGTGGGGTCACATATCTGCCAAAAGTGGCCCCTCCCAGGCAAGGACAGCATTGGTGGGCAGTGCAGGTACCACAGGGCCTGCCACCTGGCAGGTTTCCAGAGGGGTAGAAAAATCAGGATAGAGAAGGAAGTTTTGGGAAGGGCAAGAGAAATTACCTAATGCTCCAAAAACAGTGTGAAATAGGCTGGCAGGGGGAGGGGAGGGGACTATCTTTCCCTGAGGGCTCAGGCCCCAAAACTTCAGCTACAGGAGAATAAGGCTGTGGCCTAAATCAGGGCATTCTGCTGAGGAGGGTGGTGTCACAGACTAGCCACCCCCACCTCATATCCCACCTGCAGTGCAGTCCAGCAAGAGGCCAGCTGGCAGACAGGACAGGGCAGAGACAGCTGCAGAGCTCACCTTCAGCCCACTGTCACTTCTCAGATAGCCTCTCAATCCTGGGCAGCTGCTCAGGCCTTGCCACTCCAAACTACTCTCCTCCCAAACCTATATGACCCCTTGAGTGTCCCCATCACTCTTGAGAAAGAATTCAAGTTCCTGACCTGGCCACCCAAGTTCACATTGGTCCGGCCTCACGCAGCTGCATCTCTGCTTCCTTTGTGCCTATTCGACAAACCTGTTATCAAGCTCATCTAGTCTCTGGATATACTGTCCCTTCTCCGTGGGAGGTCCTCTTCAACTACCTCAGCCTCTAGGAACTTTCTAAACTCAGCATAGATCCTCATCCAAGAAGCCTTTCTAGAGCAATCCAGGCCTTGGCAGGCCCTGCAAGGGCTCTCTACCAGACTGCCTTGTCTCCTGGTGGCCAATCCTGCCAGTGGGCTCCTCTACCCAATGTACCAGTCAGGGCGCTCTGCTTCCACTCAATTCCCTGCAGCCCAATTAGGTGATTCTCCTGCTGCTTTGTGCTGGTCACAGAGGACAAAGATGTAGTAGTGAGGTCCCTGCTGTCAAGGAGAGCCATGTGCTCACGAAGGCAGACCCACCACAGAAGCCACCCACCCCAAAAGGGCAGACCAGGAAGAAACAGCTCACACCCTCCAGGGCCCAGAAGAAAGACAGAAGGCCTCCTGGAGAAAGAGGAATCCAAGTGGGGCCTCAAAGGACTGAGTGGTGGAAGAACAGAAAAGGCATGTCACAGAGAGGAAAGAAGGAAGGAAGACTAAGGGCTGTATCCAGCAAAGCTAGGCTGAGTCCAAGACAAGAGGGGCCTGGGTGGAGGGCCAGGATACGAGCTGCACCTGCTCTGTGGGTGACGGATGCCAAGGGAGATTTTGAATCAGGAGAGTGACATGGCTCCCGAAGGTCAAGCCAATCCTACTCTTAATTGGCTCCGGCACCCAGCACCCTAAGGGTGATGCCCAGAAAGTGCACAAAGGAGGAGGTATATTTTGCCTGTTGGTACCTTGGGCCATGTCACACCTGCTGGCTGCCACATGGGGTGGGGAATCATATTGGAGAGGGGACCAGAGGGGAGTGAGGTCTGCACTTCTGCAGGGGGCCAGGGGAGGGGACATTGGAAGATCCTGCCCCATGCTTAACATTTTCTCACAGGTGACAGTGTGCTCTGACTAGACCAGGCCACAGAGCACATGGGTCTCAGATCTTCTGGAGCTGGGTAGAAAGGCAGTCTCAGGACGGTCGCTTTTCAGGGGTCATCAGCTGCTCCACCTCCCGCATGAATCGCAGACACATCTCTTCCTGCCAGGGCAGAGCCACGCACTGCACAGCCACAGGCAACCCCACACTATTCTTCATGGCCTGCAGGGGACACAGGTATGAGGATGGACAGCAAAGCAGAATCCCACTCCAGGCCCAGAAAGCATGTGCCCCACTAGAGAGGAGAGGCAGCAAGGCAGGCCGGCTTAGCCTGGGGGCTCGCTTAAAAACAGCTCTGAGGCTTCCCTCCTCAGCAGGCAGAGCTGGGGCAGGGAGTGGACTGAGGGCATGGGCAGGCCTCACCTTCTTCAGCATCTTGTCCCAGATATCCCCAAAGTGGCCCTTGTAATGTTCCATCTGGGCCTCGTCCTCAGCAGTCACTGTGGTGACAGGCACCACCCCCGCAGGAAAGTCCAGGCAGTTGTAGAGCACGGTGTAGCTGATGGCCCCTGGAACACATCACAGTGGCTGCAGCAGGCCCTGAGACTGGCAGAGCCAACTGTCCTTTCTAGGCCTTGATCACCCTCCCTGTGAAATAGCACCCTGCTTCCAGAGTCAGGGAAAAGCCCTCTCCCAGGATTGGTGTTTCAGTGCAAAGTCCAGGAGCCCTGCAAGATCCACAGATGCTTGCCCTGTGCCTTTGCCCAGGTAGTTTCCCTGCCTCGAACATCATTCCTATTTTCTTGGCTTATCTAGATCTCATCTAGATTCAAATACCATTTCCCAAAGTAGACTCTAACTAAACATCCCCAAGTTGAATAGTGCTTATGACAGGGAGCTCATTCCCTCCCAGAGCATCCCACATGACTCCCATCTCTCCAGCCAGCCAGCCTCCCCCAAGAGCGGAGTGCTCCCCCAGTATTGGGGTCCTCCCTCAATGCTCCTCCTGTACTTCCAGTAGCTCCACAGGGCTCAGGGCTGAATCCATAGAAAAGAAGGGGCAGGTGGAGTGTGAGGAGAGCAGGTGGGGCAGCAGGCCTCACCTGTGGCCCTGCCTGCGGCATTCAAGTTCAGAGCAGGACCCAGCATGGGGGTTAGCAGAACATCCAGGTCCAGTGCTTTCCATTGAGCAATCACAGAATTGCGGTACACCTGAGGGAATGCCAGCACACCAGGGAGGTGCTCAGACCAGGACAGTTCAACACAGGGACAGTGGCTGGGGTCTGGTCCCAGCACCTGCAGCTGGATCTGAGCTGAGCCAGGAAGAGGTCCACAGGCAGGCAGCAAAGCTTCGTGGGAACACTGTTGTTTCCACCTCCACCTCCTGCCCAAACTATAGACACTTCCTGCTGAGGTGAAGCCATGTCCTGCATAGCCACAGGCAGCTCCAAAGGGGCAAAGAACAGGAGTCCTATGCTGACCCAGCCCCATGGGACCTGGGCAGATGAGCATCAGAGAGCAGGGCCCAACGTGCAGGATGGAGGTAGGGGGCGGGGATGACAGGTCTCTCCAGGAGACCAGTGGGAGCAGTGGCTAGAAGACCCTGCTGCAGGTGCCCTGAACAACTCCACCCTCCCCTGCCACCTACTGTAGAGTAAGGGCTCAGGCCTCACCTCAATCTTATGCTGCAGTTCCCAGAGCTTTCCAGCCGACCTGGGCAGAGAGAGTGAAGTCACCAGCCAGCATGGCCACAGCCAGGATCACCTAGTGACTCCACAGCAGAGCCAGCCCTAGACCAGGACTGATTTCTTACTATCCTCAGGATCCCGGAGAGGCCAGGGATGTCAAAGGTCCTAAGTGTTACAGGTGAGAGGAGTGAGTCCACAGGACACCAGGGCTGGAAATGGGGTCATTTGTGCCCTGCTTTTCCAGTCTGAGCCACTAAGGAGAAGATGGGACCCCATGCATCCATTCATTTCAGATCTCTAACAGCATTTCACCTGGTTCCCCAGTGTCCAGCACCCCATGTGTCACCCAGGGCCAACTCCTTCTGATCCCTGTGCCCCCGCCAGGTCCATCTTTTCTAGTTCTCTCCTCTGTTCCCTCCTTGCTTTTGCTCTCCAGCCAGATCTGGACCCTATGCTTCAAGGTCCCCCTGGGGTCACACAGGTTGCCCCGTGCCTATCCAATTCCATCCCAGAAGTTACTTCCAGTTGTCAGAAACCACCTGGACTCAGATCTGGGTCGGGGAAAGATAGGGGCAGACATCTAGCATGGAAATGTTCTCACCGAGGCCTCATGCTGCTGAGAAAGGATGCCATCCGTGGGAACTGTACAGGAACACACACAGGGTCAATGACTAAGCTTGGGGTAATGGGTGGCCACCATGCCACCCACTCCATACCTTCCCCAGGCCCAGGTCACACCCCTTTAGACAAGAAGGTTGGAGAGGATGGGGAGGAGAGCAATTGGGGTGGAGAGAAGTACAGCAATGCCTGCCCAGAAAGGCCAAGGGAAGGCTGGAAAGAGCCAGAGACCACAGGGCATCACAGGATGGGCGACCCCAGAGCTTCCCTTGACCCTTAGCCCCTCACACTCTTTGTACCCTCACCAGAGGCTTCAGCAGGAAGGCCAGCAGTCCTCTAAGCCAGCTGGGCAGCTTCAGAACTAAGATCAGGTCCCCCAAGCAGGGGTCCACAAAATCACCTTTGCTGGGAGATAAAAGGCAGAGTCTTGGTGCTCCCACCCTAGTATCCCTCCTGGCCTGCTCCTCACTGACTGTGCCCTGTTCTCTACCCTTCCCCCATCTCTCCTTATCAGACTCCAGTAACTAGTGGTCTCCAATCCTTTTGACTGCCTCCTTCCAATCCATGCTCATCTATATTCCCATCCTCCTGCCATAATCCCATCCTGAACTCTAATCTTCCCCAGACAGACAAGGAAGCCCCCTGCCCACTTTCTACTGGACAGCCAGCTCTGCTCAGGGGCTGCAGATGCACAATTCTGCCTCCCATCAGGCTGGCACCTTTCCAAACTCTCCCTGGAAAAGTGTCTCCAGGCTCAACTTGCACAGCTGGAGGGACAGCAAGGTCCCTTCCCAGAGGCCCAGGCCTTCTTCGTGTGCAGCTGAGTTAGGTCTTGCTATCCCTGGGCTGGGCATTTCTTTGATTCCACCACAGACCCTGAAGCCCATCAGTACTCACAAGTTTTGGAGGAAGCTGTGGCCACCATCACTGAACAGCCCACCTGATGACAGGGTCTCCAGAGCATAGGGGATGTTGCTTGGCAAGAAGGGAACCAGCTGCAGGGATTGAGGGCCCCAGACTTAACAACCCTTGGCTCCCATGACTCCACCTGCTGTCCCAGGGACCCTAAGGATAGGCTGTAACCATTCTGCCACATGGTAGCGCTCACAAGAGCCATAAAGGATGCTTTACTGGCCCATGAAAACTCCCCGTAAAAATGTCCCTCATGAGAGAATTCTGGAGTCTTAGAATTCTCCCAGTGTTACCATTTCAGGGCCCCAGAAACCTCTGGATGGCTGTGTACCTTGTCTAGGGTTAAGAACCCCACTGCCCACCGCCAAACCAAATGCAGCGCTCACACATTACCCAGCGCTGGCTGAATTCTCATGATCTTCTCTCTTCAATAATTCTGCCCTGCCATCTACATACTGATCCCATAGGGTGACAGTCATCATCCTCAATAATTAAACAATCAAGAGGTTGGGGGCCTGGGAGGGAATGGCCGTGAGAACCAGGAAGACTGCCTTGGAGGAAAGGAGATGCCAGGACTGTGGGTTCCTATAGTCACACCGTGTGGCCAGCAGCTTCAAGGCTCTGCTTAGTCTCCAGTAGGGCCCGCTTCATGGCTGGGCTGGGCATGGTGTAGTTGTCGGTCTCATAGTAACCCACACGCAGGGGCCGGGAGCTTGTGTAGACCTGGGAGCAAACATAGAGGGCACGGTCAGGGCAGGAGCAGAACAGGAGAGGACAGCCTGAGCAGAGTTCCTGGAAGCCAGAGAAGCTACTCAGCCCCAGACACAGCTATAAAGCTACAGCCTGGATCCCTCTGGCACTGTTTCCCCTGAAAACAGATCATCAGCAAGGTCAGTCCCTTCCACATATGACCTTTTCATAAAACACCTTCACAATGACTTGGTGGCAGACAGAGCAGGTATGAGGATTCCCATTGGCCATATGAGGAAACTGAGGCTTGAGGTTTATCTAGAGTCTGAGGCCCAGAGTTGGACTGGGACTTGCCTACGGTCACCCAATGCAGAGATAAGATTAGGCCCATATTCAGGCATTCTGTCTCCTGAGCCAATATGCTCCACTACCTTGCCCTGTCCCCTTGATAAACTTTCCAATCAATGAGGGACCTCTTCTCCTCTTCTCCCTCTGTCCCTCCCTCCCCATCTCTCTTTTTTTTTTTTTCCTTTTTTGATACTGGGGATTGAACCAAGGGGCACTCTATCACTAAGTTACACCCCCCAGAACTTTTATTTTTATTTTTTATTTTGACAGGATCTCACTAAGTTATCCCAAAACTGGCCTCAAACTTTTGATCCTCCTCTCTGGGCCTCCTGAGTTGCTGGGATTGTAGAAATGTATCATCAAGACCAGCATACTATTGATCCTTGAACAGTCTTCATCAGCTCTTCAGTAAAAAGCATCAAATGACATTTACACCCCACGATTCTGAACCTCTTATCTCAAGGTCCTCAGCCTGCTGTTCCCCAGTCCTCAACAATTAGATCATGATCCTTACCTAATCACAGCCAACATGCATGTTGGAAGACCTGCCTAATCCAGACTCCCCAATCCACCCTCTGGGGCACAGCTCAGGCTGTTGAGGCAGGGTTCCACCACTTCAGAAAGTAATGAGCTCGTTTGATCAATGGGGCTGTCTTAGTGATATCCTGGGGAGCAGGAACTCTACACTACCCACAGCTTGCTCACCCTAGGTGACAAGCATGCTATTTTCTGGGGATTTAGACAGGACTATTATAAGTAAGGCTGCTATTTACTGAGAATAAAATACAACCTAGGTACAAGAGTTCTCTGGCTGAGAAAAAGGTCCTGACTGGTCCTCTGACACCAGCAGAGGTTGAAAGCCTGAAGGTTTCCAAATGCAGACAAGAGCGCCACCTTGTGTCTATCTATGGAGTAGCAGTTGACCCTGCCCTCAGATCTGGGGACAGTTTTCCTGGGACAGGGCCTGGGAGACCTGCCCACAATGACTAGGTTCAGAAATTCACCCCCTTTCCCCCTTTTCCACCCAACTCACCTCCTCCCTGAAGGGCACTGGGGGTACAGTGGGGTCCAAGCGGAACATGTCTTCACATAGCAGGGCTCTCAGGCATAGCGCCAGGCTCTCCACATCCCGTGCCATGGGGCCCACTGAGAGTTGCACTGTGGGGCAAGGAGGGGAGGGGAGGGAAGAGAGGTCATCCAGCCCCAATAGGCTCTGGGGCTGGCAAGCATGAGTTGGACTATGGCCCAAGAGTTGAGCAAGACAAGGTCAGAACTCAATCTAGAGGGCCTGGTAGCCAGACACTGCCCCCCAGAGAAAGAGGGACAGAGGTGGATCAGGCTGACCCCCACCCTCCTCCAGGGACTGAAGGAACCAGACCTCACCTGCCACCTGTCCATAGACACAGCCCTTCAGACCACTCTTGCTGAATAAGAAACACAAATGTTGGAAATAGAAAATGGCTACCCTTTGCCCACCCTCAAGCCCAAGCAACATCTCTAAATTCCTAGCACAGGAAACTAGGAACCACATATGACTGTGATGGTAATACTCCTCCCAGCAAAAACCTGGTGAATGAATCCTTGCCTGGAGCCCAGAGATGTGATTAGTTAGGCCAAGGTCAAATAGCAAGGGGCCCAGAAGCTTCCAGAAGCTTCACCATACCTGAGGCGGTTCCCAGTAGGCTTGAGGCCACAGATTCCACAGAAGGCAGAAGGGAAACGGATGCTTCCCCCGATGTCAGTGCCTAAGCCCAGGGGAGAGCCTCCAGACCCAATGAGGGCCCCCTCACCCCCTGAGGAGCCACCTGGGCTCTTGGAGGATTTCCATGGGTTCAGGGTCTGGCCAAAGAGGGGGTTACTGCAGTCATAGCTGGAGGAAACAGAACAGGTCAGCCTGGGTCATGCTGGCACTGGTGTCCCTGCCCACCCCACCTCACCTTACTGAGGCCCAACCCCTGAGACCCAACCTGAACATGGACTGGGGGATGTTGGTGTGCACAAAGGGCACAGCACCCTGCAGCTTCAGCACCTGCACCACCACGCTGTCACACTCCGCTGGCACTCCCTCATTCAAGCTCAAGCCCAGTGTAGAGTCATGGCCCTGGAGGAAGCACAAGCACCAAGAGGACAATGCAGATGAGTCAGGAGCCCCTCTGCAGCCCACAGTCCCCTCCACCACTGTCATACTTGCTGAGGCCAGGCATATCCATGGTCCTCTCTCAAGGCCTATGGACTTGATATTTCCTCTGAGGGACCCAAATGACCCAGGACACAGAATTGGCTACAGGGACAGAGGGGAACAGATATCACAGTAGGGTGTACCTTGTAGCTGAAGCACTCCTTGAGGCTCAGGGGGACACCATAGAGCAGGCCATGCCGTGGAGCCTGGGACAGCTGAGTCTCACAGTCAGCCAGATAGGAAGTCACACAATTGATCCCTTTGTTCACTTCCCAGGCCTGAAGAGGAGAGAAATGGAAACAAAGTAAAGTGAAATGGTATTTTTTTTTAATTGTGGTAAAATGTGCATCATATAAAATTGGTCTTTTCAAATATACCCAGGGAAAGGGTAATCAGCAAACTGGCCCACAGCCAGGAACACCTAGCCCACCATCCACCTAGCTGGGGACATTTGGCCCCAGCCTCATCCTATCTCCAGCTTTCAACTTCATGACACAGAAAGAGAGGAGAAAGAGAGAGAAGACAAAGAGAAAGAGAAGACAGAGACGGGGGTGGAGAGGGAGAACCTCCAGGGCCAGGACACTTGGGGGAGCAAGATACAGTCCTCAAATATTCCCCAACAAGAGATGAGTTGAGAGAAAGATGACCACTGGCCTCTGCTCCCGTTCCTCTAAGCCAATCTCTGCCCAGCGAGGCAGATGAGAACCAGACAGGGGCAGACCTCCACGTCAGGTCACCTGAGGGTCAACTGTGGAGCTGGCTAAACTCAGGCCCCAGCCCAACACTGTCTCCTCTACCCCATGCCTGGCCCATACCTGGCCCAGCCCAACCTCCCCTTTCCCAAGGCCTCTTGTTTCTGATAATCAAGGCACATGGAAGTGACTGGCTGCAGTGAAGGATGATGACAGAAAGGAATGATTGTGGAGGTCTATCTAGAGTCCCCAACCACAGCCTCAGGGGCCAAGAGGAAAGGCTAGGGGAGAGCCCTGTACAGCCTTCAGTGCCTCCTCTGGTTCCTGTGAGACCCCCCTCCCGTGGGGGGGGGGCAGGTTGTGCTGCCACACCCAGGACTGTGTAACATCTATCCCCAGGCCACCCAAGGCAAGAAGGGAGGAGCCCATCATTTGTAATTAAAACTCTCTCTTCTAGTGACAAGGAAGAGTAAAGGCCTTTCAGGGTCCTTGTTAGGGAAAAGCATCACCATCTGCTGAGATTCTATCAGTGACACCTGCCACCCATGCTCTCTCATCCTCTCTCAGCTGAGTACCTGTCATATCACCCCTCACCTAATACGCAGGCCCCATCTGCTTAGCGGTCATACTATCACACACAAGTCACACTCGTAATGCAAAATTTATCCTTCATTTCTTTTTTGCACATATTTCTTGAGTACTTTCTGTGTGTTCAGTACTAAGGTTCAAAGACAAATAAGGCAAACTGTCCACAAAGAGCCCACATGGGCATGGAAAAGGAAGAAGACAGGCCTGYTGTGGACAGAGAGCATGCAGAGGGCTGGCAGGGCAGGGGGCAGGGGCCAGGTGAGCATGGAGGCATCCTGCTCAGAGCCCTAAAGGCTCAGCCAGGGCAATGAATATCCCTCCTTCAGTAGCCTGTTGGAGGCCAAGCCCAGGGACAAAGCAAAGGGAAAGCCAGTGGAGAGCATGGCAGGTCCTAAGCTCTGACACTCTAATGCCCTGAACTCCTGACCACCAAGGACTGCAGAGCCGAAAGGGCACCTGGCCAGGAGGCTGCTGCTGGTGAGTGTAGTGAAGGCCAGGGTGGCTGAAGGAGGATAAAGACAAGGGAGGAACTGAAGAGAAACAGAAGATAGAACAGACCAGACTTGGTGACCAAAGAGTGGAGGCGTAAGGGACAGAAAAGTCTGGGCTGAAAGCCAGTTTTCTAGATAAAACAACATGTTCAGTGTCTTCCCCCACATGTACGTGCACACTCACGCACACACAGAGCTCTCTGGCCTCTTCCCTCCCTGGTAGTCCCTGGCACTCTGGTCCCACCCTTGCCCTCAGCAGGATCATTCTAGGCCAGGTTTTCCTCACACACCTTACAGAGAAAGGGAGGAAGAGTGAGCAGAATATCGGGGCTGGAGGGCAGCAACCTTACCTTTCCCACATAGGTGAAGAGCGCAGCTTCAGGGGACAGCTCTCCACTCTGTAACTTCTGCACCAGTTGAGGCAAAGGCAGGGCCAGCAGCGCCTCTGAGTCCAGGTCAGGGTTCTATGAGAGACACACTCAGATCAGTCCCCTCTTCCCAAAGGCCCCTGAGCCTGCAGCAGATTCCTGTGGCCCAGGCCCCTGAGCCCCCACATACTCCAGAAGCTCAGTTCCACATGCCAATCCACAACAGACATGCCCAGACACAGTTCTGACACCAGGGCCAGGACCTGGCCTGGGCAAGCCCTTTCCACCTTTGGGCAATGAATATCCCTCCTTCAATAGCCTGTTGGAGGCCAAGCCCAGCAGTTGCACCAACCAATCACCATTGTAGGCCTACTTCCCCCAGGCACCACACCGATCCTTGGGTTTTGTTTTTGTTTGAGACAGTGTCTCAATAAATTGCCAAGACTGGCCTGGAACTTGCTATCCTCCTGCCTCAACTTCCTGAATAACTAGGATTACAGGAGTATGCTACCACCCCTGGCTGTGTTCCACGTTTTGATTAAATGTTACTACCACTAGTGGGGCGTGGTGATTCACGCTTGAATCCCAGCGACTCTGAGGCAGAGGCAGATGGATTGCAAGTTCAAAGCCAGCCTCAGCAACTTCCTGAGGCTCTAAGCAACTTAGCAAGACCCTGTCTCAAAATAAAATATAAAAACCAGCTGGGGATGTGGCTCAGTGGTTAAGCACCACTGGCTTCAATCCCTGGTACCAAAAAAAAAAAAAAAAAAAAAAGTTACTACCACTCCCATTGTGCAGATAAAGAAACAGGCTCAGAGAGGAAGTACCTGGCCTAGGACCATAAAGGTAAATGGCTGTACTTTGCCTACTGAGCACAAGCTGCTCATTGGCTATCCACCTGCATTTGATCACCCAACCCCTGCAAGGGAGGGCAAGAACAAGACTCCTTCAGAGGGGCTGGAGACTACACCTGAAAGAAAGGATTTATACTTTCATTCCACCAGCTCATGAGGTGTCACCTTTGTACCAGTGCCATGGCAGGCATGGGGATTAGGCAGTGAATGAAAAGCTGTGCCCACGTGAGCTTACACAAGGCAGAGATAGAGAGCAGGGAATTAATAGGTAAACAAACAAGAATTTGACCTGGAGATAAAGAAAATAAAACAGGGTGTGGTAAGGGGAGCACATGGGTGGAAGGGACTGCACGTGGGAGGAAGGGACTGCTCTCCACGGTTCCAGATCTCTGGGGTCAGCCCTTCCCACAAACACCCACCTGCTTCCATCCTCAAGGGTATTAGACCAATTAGCAGGCACTTAGTCACAGCCCCAACTGTTCACCTGGCTCCCTATTATTTCTGCCAAGTCACCAGAGACCTCCTTGACTTTACTTCACATCTCCATGAGGCATCCTCATCAATTCTTCCTGAAGATAGATAGTTCACTTCCCTGGTTTCCCTCCTGCCTCTTCACTACTTCCTCTGTCATTCATTGATTTAGTCAGTCAACAAACATATTCTGAACACCTACTATGTGAGGGGCTATGAATTTAGAAGGAACCAGGAAGACCCAGAAAATAAAAAGCTAAGTCACAGACAGGTCATGGCAAATGTGAGACAGCAGATCCACAAGCGCTGTGGCGGGAATTAGAGGACTGACTTAGATGGGCCAGGCTGGCCTATTTGAAGAGGCAGTACTCCAGCCACAACCTGGAAGATGAGAAGGAACCAGATTCAGGAAATACAAGCTCCTGGAGGCTTCTCCAGGGTTCATCTTCCCTTTCATGTGCTAGGAGCCGGACTCCCTGGCTACCACTCCACCTCCACAAATGCCCCTGACTCTCTCCAGTCCTCTGCCTGCCCCACAGCCTCAGGATCCTTCACTCAGTCCCATCCAAGTGGGCCTGAACCCACTCATGGGGCTACTCTTGTCCCACTGCTCCATGTCCTTCCCTCTGAGCTCATCACCCCCCACACACTTTCAGCAGACCTGGACCCTCACTCAGGCAAGTGCACCATCATCCCTTTAGTTATTCAGGGGAACACCCAGTCATTCAAGAATCTCCCTCTCCCTCCTACCCACATCCAACCCGTCACCAAATTCTGGAAAAACCGGCTACCTCTATCCCTCCACCAAGACGCTCACCTACATTCATCTTTTTCTCCTGGGTCACACAGGGAACCTAACGCTGCCCTGCCCAAGCCCTGTCCCTCTGGCCMGCCCTTCCTTCTAGGACCAGACAAGTGCCAAACTCAATCTGGCCGCATGTTCCAGAAGGAACTTACAAGCCATGGTCCTGTCAGACTCCTCTGTACCCTAAACGCACCACACCTCCACAACTGAACACCTTCCACCCCCATCGACCATGGCCATTATACCTAATGTCCTCAGGAGTCCTTCCCTGAATTTGTTAAACAGATATACTTACTTGGTTTGCCTTTGGTGGGGCGGAGGGGGAGTACCAGAGATTGAACCCAGAGGCCCTTAACCACTGAGCCACATCCCAGCCCTTCGTATTTTTATTTTGAGACAGGGTCTCACTAAGTTGCTAAGGCTGGCCTCAAACTTTCAATCTTCCTGTTTTAGCCTCTCAGGAAGGGGAGATTACAAGCATGTGCCACTAAACCCAGCCTTAGTATGCTCTTTTTAAAAAATATTTTATTTGTTGATGGACCTTTATTTTTTTATTTTAATGTGGTGGTGCTGAGACTTGAACCCAGTGCCTCACAATATGCTAGGCAAGTGCTCTACAACTGAGCTACAATCCCAGCACTTGGTATGCCCCCCCCCCCCGCTTTGTGTGTGTGTGTGTGTGGTGCTGGGGATTGAACCCAAGGCCTTGTGCATGTGAGGCAAGCACTCTACCAACTGAGGTATATCTCCAGTCCCCTTGGTATGTTTTTTAATACAGAAAACTAGAGTAGAAAAAAGTGGGTCACTGATCTCTACGCAAATACACCAGATAACCCTTGTTGAGTTGTTTTTGTTTGTTTGTTTGTTTGTTTTTAGGCACATAAAATGAAAAGTGATCATTCACACACATACCCCTCCACCCTACACAGTCCCTCTACTGAAAAGGAAACTATTCTTAATAGTTTCTAATGAACTTTTACAGGGGAAGAAAAAAAAAGTTTATGAGGGACTGGGGTTGTGGCTCAGTGGTAGAGCACTTGCCTAGCATGTGTGAGGCCCTGGGTTCAAGTCTCAGTACTGCATATAAATAAAATAAAGGTCCATTTACAACTAAAATAAATAAATTGCACATATTGGTGCATTGAGGGTGCACCAATATGTGCTCATATCAATATATATATATATCAATATATATTTTTTAAAGAGAGAATTTTWAAAATATTTATTTATTTATTTTAGTTTTCAGTGGACACAACATCTTTATTTTATTTTTATATGGTGCTGAGGATCGAACCAAGCGTCCCGCGCATGCAAGGCGAGCGCGCTGCCGCTTGAGCCACATCCCCAGCCCAAATATATATATTTTTAAAAGTTTATGAAATACCTACAACATATATAGCTACTTACATTTATTCTTTTTATACAAAATGATCACACTATACAGAGTACTACATTCTGCCTCTCTCATCTCACAATGGAAACAGAAAATGTGGGGGTTTTCTGATTATAAAAATATGTGCTCATTGTTTTTAAGAAAATACCTAATATGGGGAAGAAGTTAAGATCAGCAGAGAGCCCACCACCCCGGGATAATTACCACCTGCTGTCTGCTGGCTGTCTCCTCCCACCTTGTCACCAAGTGCCCACAGAGACAGCTGCAAGGTATCAGCCACACCATCCCCGCATTTTAATTCTTTCCTAGGTTTCTTCCTGTTGACAATTGATGATACAGTTGCTAACAGCTATTTTTAAGTCTTCAACTAATATTAGGCAGGCAAGACATTCTTTCACAAGACACCAAAGTAAGCCTGCGCCTCCAGAAGGCCCATCTGAACATGGGGAAACTCATTTTGTGTGGAGAACGCAGGGATGTATACTGATGTCCTCACTGGGTGGCCACCCTGCATGGGAACTTTTCAAGAGGGGGCTACCTTACCTATCTTTTAAGCACTGCCTCTCCTCAGCTTCGTTGTCTCCTGAACCACCTATTGTCCTAATTTCAGGTCTCCTGGATTGCCTTCCCTGTCACTTTTCTTTTCCCTCCTGGTTTTTATTGTTTTTGTTCTATTTCAAGATATTTCCTAAATAAATTAAATTAAAAGGAAAAGGGGCTGGGATGAGAGTTTAATTTTTTTTTTTTAAAAAGACATCTCTCCATTTGATCATGTTTGCCACTAATCTCAATGGTAATCATATTCTCCTTCAACTCACCTACTGAATTATCTCAAAGTTCTKTGTAAGGCAGACTTGGAGAAAGCCAGGAGATGGAACCAGAGGTGGGATCCAGTTGAAAGGAAGTGGCATTGATAGGACCAGTGGGTCTCTGCTAAGTGGGTGGGTATATAAGATGGAAAAGGCATTGAGGGTGCACCAAAAGCATGKGTTCGAAGGCACAGTGTCCTGTGGTGCCTGTCCCAGCCTTAGCAATGGTCTCCCTTCAGTCTAGAAAGCCTATCAAACTCACTCAAGGGTCAGATGGGAAAAACGGGTGAATGGTTGTTTTGAGTAAACCTCCATGGTCAACAGAGTTATCAAAAACACAACTTTCTCTAGAGTTGCTCTGAAGAGGTGAACCATTTTGTGATGACTCAGAGATACATAGCACCCCCCACACCCAATCACACATACATCCAGTGTGTGTTCTCCTKGGTCCACAGCTAGCTAGCTTTGTCCATTATCTATCAGGGAGACGATACTACAAAAGTACTGTGTGTTCCCAGGGCTGCCTGGATCCTTCTTTTCTGAATGGCCCTTGCTCTTCAGAGCTGGGTTAAGAAAGTCCCAGAAGAAAGGCTGCTGAACAGCCTCTGGTCCTGCCTCCCTCATCTAAGGACCCAGAGCCTAGAAGAAGGGCACCACAGGGATGAGCAGAGGAAGGAATTGGTCCTAAGGCTGGTCCCTACCCCAAAGCCTACAAAGTTATTGGCTTCAAGACCCCACCCCTTAGCCAGTTAAATGGTGCACACCAATAGTCCCAGCTACTCAGGAAGCTAAGACAAAAGGATCACTCAAGGCCCATGAGTTCAAGATCAGCCTGGGTAACATAGTGAGACTACAGCTAAAAAAAAAAAAAAAAAAACTKGGGAGAGTGGCCTGTAATCCCAGTGGCTTGGGAGGTTGAGGCAGAAAGATCACAAATTCAAAGCTAGCTTCAGTATAATTTAGAAAGACCCTCAATTTAGTGAGACCCTGTCTCAAAATAAAATATAAAAAGGGCTGGAAATGTAGCTCAGTGGTAAAGTGCTCCTGAGTTCAATCCCTGGTACAAAAACAAAACACCCCTTTACTGATTGCTGAACCTCAGGGGCTCCCAGCTAGTAGTCCCTTTCATTTCTGGTCATTAGAAACCCAAAAATGTAATTTCTCCTCCTGAAAGGGCCAAGCTTTGGTGTTTGAGGCTAGGTCTCCTGCTACAGGAAGGGTATAGAAACACCTCTTTGTATTTCAGATTCAAAATGTCTGTCCTGGAAGATTCTGTTCTTTAAAAGAATGATGCTGGGAAGTGAAATGCAGAAAGAGTCATTCTTCTACCACCAACAACGCCCCTCCCCCCCAGCCCTGCCAGTCAAATGCATTCCTTTTGACTCTTAGGATTCCTTCCTGTGGGCAGGAACTGTGGGCAGATTCCTGCACCTGCTCGCTGCACTGAGCTAAGAGCTGGTAGAACTCAGCTGGCTTCACAGAAGGACAGGAGTGGAGCAGCCAAGGGTGGTCCAGAATGAACCAGGGATCATCAGGAGGACCCTATGTGAGGGGTATCTCCATTGCTCAGCCAAAGAAGAGACTAAGCAGTGAAGAACCCCTGATTAGGTAGTGATCAGTTGTCAACCAATACTGTTGGCATTTTGTCAACAACCAGTTTGGGTTGAACAACAGGGACTTCCCAATCTGGGAGAAGAGAACTCTAAAAACTGACTAATGACCAACCTAGATGCCCTTCAATATATACACACAATGGAACATTATTCGGCATTAAAAGAGAATAAAATCATGGCATTTGCAGGTAAATGAATGAAGTTGGAGAATATTATGCTAAGTGAAGCAAGCCAATCCCAAAAAAAACCAAAGGCCAAATGTTTTTTTGTTTTGTTTTGTTTTTTGATATGAGGATCTTGACTCATAATAGTGATTGGTGGGGGAGCATGGAAGGAATGGAGGAACTTTAGATAGAGCAAAGGGGAGAGAGGGGAAAGGATGGGGCATGGGAGTARGAATGATGGTGGAATGAGTTAGACATCATTACCCTAAGTACAAGACACGAATGGTGTGAAAATACTTTGTGTACAATCAGTGTCTTGAAAAATTGTCTATATATAATATGAATTGAATCGCATTTTGCCATCATGTATAACAAATTAGATCTCCCAGGTGATGGGAACAGCAGGAGTCAGGAGGATGTACATTGATGGAAGGCAGAGAGGGAGTCATTGAAAATTGCCACTTAGCAGGTGGTCAGTTATAGCAAGTGATTTTTGAGTTGGGCAGAGCCTGAACTAGAACCTAGGTGCCCAGTGGAACTCTCCAGCTCCCTGCAGTGGGGAGGAGCAGGAGAGGGATTAGGGAAACTGGGCATCAGATACTAGGGTGTGGCCCTGAATCTGGGTAAAGTTTTGGCTGGCTGTAAATTTCAATTTACTTCACATCATTCCTGAGGCCAGAGCATATTTATTTATTGAAATAAAAATATATTTGGTTTCCAGGGCTGAGGTTGTGGCTCAGTGGCAGAGTGCTTGCCTAGCATGTGTGAGGCACTGGGTTCGATTCTCAGCACCACATATAAATGAATAAAATAAAGGTCCATTGACAATATATATATATATATATATATATATATATATATATAATGTATTTGGTTCCAAACTCCACTCATCAAGCTGGTTGAGAAGTCATCCATTAGTTTCATTTTTTTTTTGAGGGGGAGGGCACCAGGAATTGAACCCAGGGGTACTCAGCCACTGAGTCACATCCCCAGCCCTATTTTATATTTTATTTAGAGATAGGGTCTGAGTTGCTTAGCGCCTCGCTTTTGTTGAGGCTGGCTTTGGACTTTCGATCCTCCTGCCTCAGCCTCCTGAGCCCCTGGGATTACAGGCGTGTGCCCACTACCTGGGAAATCCCACAAACACCCAAGGTAAGTCTTCTTTCCCTCTGCATGTCAGAATATCTCCCAGGGGCCAGCATTTTGGTTTCTAAGTGGGGCCAATTTTCATACACCTGGAGGAAAGTCCCTTTTCTAGATGCCATTCCTCTCCCCCAGTGTGCACCTCCCCTGCAGTCAAACACACACACTGAGATGATCCAGAAGTAGCACAGGGAGAAGCAAAGCTTATTGACAGATCATCCGGGGAAGGCTAGAACTAAACCTGCTGTTGGAAAGGGTTGTCAGGGGTTGGACAGCAGGAGCTGAGAAGACTTCCACTCTAGCTTTACCAACAATTCATTGTGCACTTGGGCAAGTCTCTTTCTGGCTTGCTCTGAAGATATTCATGCACAAACCAACAAGCTTGAACCTTAAACTCTGGATGCCTGGGCCAAGACTCCGTATACTGGCGTATAGTTGGTACTCACACTAGCGTTCTAACATTCAGATAGTCMGTATTCGAAATCCTTTGGCACCGAGCAAAGCTCCTCTTTGACCCGGTGTGGCGATGGACCTACACGACCCGACCTGTGCCTTTCGTTTCTTTCCTCCACCTCACCCAGCCCTACCTGGCTGGGAAAGAGAGAATGCCTGAAGAGAAGGCAGTCCTACACCTGCGTTGCCCGCCAGTCCTCCGCGCGTCCGGGAGGCTAAAAGTGCTAAAAGTGCTACCGGGGCTACCCCCCGCGCCCTACCCACCCCCGCCCCGGCCTGGGCGGTCACCTGGAGCCGGAAGCGCTGCGCCGCCTTGTCCATGTTCTCCAGGCCCGCTCGCTGCCTCTGCCGCGCCCGGGCCGCGGCGCCCCGCGCCGACCGGCGCCCGGACCAGCGCAGGGCCACGGCCGCAGCCACGAAACAGCAGACCAGGGCAGCCCCGGAGGCTCCAGACAGCGCCGGCCACAATTCGTCCGGCACCATGATCTCCCGCCGCCGACTGATGCCGAGTGGAGGGAGACAGACGAGGAATCTGCCTGAGCAGCCGGACGGCTCCTCCGCAAAACCCGGCCTGGATCGCACGGGATTCTGCGCCCGCCCGAAGGAGGGGCGGGGCGCGGGCCCSCGGGGGAGTGCGCGGAGACACGGGCTGGCGACGCGCAAGGGTCAAGGTCAAATGGGGCTGCCGGCTGGGATCGCTCCGGGTGTCCTGGCACTTTAGGCCAGCCTGTGCTGCCAGCCGAGGGCATCCGCTCCACGTGGGCGCCCTCGGAAGAAGCAGCAATTAGGCACCGCAGACTGTAATCAGGCCTCAGCCCGGGAAGACTCGATCCAGCCAGCGCTCAGTGGAACAGGCTGTCCAAGAAGATTGAGAGCAGCAACAGACTTGACTTTTGGGCCCCATCGACTTCATAAACTCCTCAGCAGCATCTTTCCTGGGAAAGCATGGAGGCCTTGCACCACAGGGCGCCCCCTTCTCCCCAACCTGGGGTGCTGAGGATGGAACCAGGGCCTCACACGTGCTAGGGTAGGCGCTCTATCGCTGAGCCACAGTCCCAGCGGCCCCGCCCCCACTCTTCTTGAGGGCCCAAAGTGTCCATCATTTGTACTTTTCCCCAGCCACTCCCTCCAGACTCTTCTCTGGATTACCCGGTCCCAGTCCTGGGCCCTCCTGGACTTCACACCCAGTAAACAGAAAGAATGAAGCAGGAATGGAGCCTGATGCCCCTTTCTTTCTTTTCTTTTTATTTTTTAGTTGGACACAATATCTTTTTTTTAAAGAGAATTATTTTTTAATATTTGTGGACACAACATCTTTATTTTATTTTTATGTGGTGCTGAGGATGGAACCCAGGGCCTCGCACATACCAGGCGAGCGCTCTACCGCTGAGCCACAACCCCAGCCTGTCTAGTGCCCTTTCTTGGGGGGGCATGCATTACACACACATATCCCCATTCCTGCCTACAATGTTCACACTGTGAAGTGGCACCCCCTTTCTCCACAGAAAGTATTAACTGGGCTTCTCCAGAAATCTTCACCATGGCTGATTTTAGGACAGTCAGCAAAAGAGTCTCTGCAAAAGAGTTCATTGTAGATAAACTTCCTATTTTCCTGTCGCCCTGTTTTACTTGTCCACTGGTTGAGATGATACCAGCACTCCAGGTGCTGGACACCCCCTTACTAATTTTTCACAAACATACACMGTATAGTAGTTTATAGAAATGTACAAACAAGCCCTCTGGCCTTGAACTGGGCTTCACAGAGATATCTACATTTTTAAGATAAGTTACCAACTGGGCTCCATTGTAACAACTAGCAGGGGGAGAAAAGAAAGGGGAGAAGAAAGGGGAGAAGAAGCTATCTCCTTCTCAGGTGTTGTCCTTGAAGGGTTAACTTGTCCAAAACAGTGAAAGAAAAAGCTGCTTTTATGTGAACTTCTGCAGACTGTGAACTTCTGAGCCTCTCTCCTTACATGCTGGGTATAAAACTGAAACTACCTGATTCAGGGGATTGATTGATTACAGCAAAAGCTGTGCCCTCTGAACCTGGCTGCAGCCAAATAAAACTGTTTCCTGCTATCTTTGGTGCCTTGCCTCGTTTGTCCCTACAATAACAGGACTTTGTGTGCTTTATCTCATTTGTCCTTCCAACAGCCCTACGGGAAAGGCATTTTTCTCATTTTACTGGTGAGGCAGCTGAGGACAAGAGGAGTTAAATAACTTCTGTGAATCACACTTGTGACTGAGTGGAGATTCAAATTCAGGTTTTATCCAAAGCTGGTGCTCTTAACCATCAAGCAGTACTACCATTGCTGCCCCTAGAAGTGAAGCACTGTGGGATGACATACAGGAAAGGGCTCTGTAGCTGGAAGCAATGATGGGGTGGTTCCTGGTTGTCTTTACTTCTCAAATCTGTGCCTTTATCTATAAAAGGAGGATGATTATAAAGCCTACCTAACAGAATTATTAGGGGTCTACAAGATTCTTTCACAATGATGACTAGCACATTGTAGTCCTTCCAAATGTTTTTGTTTGTTTAGTACTGGGGACTGAACTTGGGGTGCTTTACCACTGAGTTATATTCCCAGCCCCCTCCTTTTTTTTTTTTTTTTGGTAGTTGTAGATGGATAGAATGCCTTTATTTTAGTTGTTGTTGTTGTTGTTTTAATGTGGTGCTGAGGATCAAACCTAGTGCCTCACACATGCTAGGCAAGCGCTCTGCCACAGAGCTACAGCCACTGAGCTACAGCCCCTTTTATGTTTTGGTTTTTTTTTTTTAGTTGTCAATGGATCTTTTTATTTTATTTTATTTATATGCAGTGCTGAGGATCGAACCCAGGGCCTCACAAATGCCAGGCAAGTGCTCTACCACTTAGCCACAACTCCAGCCTCCTTTTTGTTTTTTTATTTTCAGATAGGGTCTCACTAAATTGCTGGGGGGTGGGGCTGGGGATGTGGCTCAAGCGGGTTTGATCCTCAGCACCACATACAAACAAAGATGTTGTGTCCTCTGAAAACTAAAAAATAATTATTTAAATAAATAAATAAATAAATTGCTGGGAGTCTCACTACTTGCTGAGGCTGGCCTTGAATTCGTGATGCTCTTGCATCAGCCTCTTGATCTGCTGGGATTACAGGCGTGTGCCACCATGCCCAGCACTATTTTTTTTAAGAGCAATTTTATGCCTACTTAAAGACAGATTGCCCTGTATGTAACAGCTAAGCACAAAAAAGTCATGAAAATATTCTTGGTTTTACAATGATAAATAAAAAGCATTAAATGACTCCATTTGCATCAGGGATACAATAATTTTTATGTTTTTATTTTTATTTTGTTGTGGCGGTGGTGGTTATTATTTTTTAAAAAACAATTACTTTTGTTTTTTTTTTTTAAAGAGAGAGAGAGAGAATTTTTAATATTTACTTTTTAGTTTTCGGCGGGCACAACATCTTTGTTGGTATGTGGTGCTGAGGATCGAACCCGGGCGGCACGCATGCCAGGCGAGCGCGCTACTGCTTGAGCCACATCCCCAACCCCGGTGGTGGTGGTTATTGCTAAAGCCTCAGAAAAAAATAACTTTCTGGAATATAAAGATGAGAGCTGGGTCTGGGGTTGTAGCTCAGTGGTAGAGTGCTTGCCTAGCATGTGTGAGACACTGTGTTGGTTCTCAGCACCACATAAAAATAAATAAAAGGTCCAACAACAACTAATAAAATATTTTTTAAAAAGATGATGAGAGCTGACTGAACATTCCATTAAAGGAGAAAGGGGGTATTTTAACAGAACCACTATTTCCCCTTGCCCATCTCTTCTCCATGTGGTATTTATCAAAATATATTATTGAACCAGGCATGGAGACACATACCTGTGATCCCAGCAATTCCAGAACCTGAGACAGGAAGATCACAAGTTAAAGTCAGCCTCAGCAACTTTGTGAGATCCTGTGTCAAAAAATAAAAGGGCTGGGGGTGTAGCTTGGGGGTACAGTGCCCTGGGTTCAATCCTCAGTACCACAGGGAAAAAAATACCATTGACCATTTAGTTAAAAATACATATATAAAAAGTAATATACCTGGGCTGGGGATGTGGCTCAGGTGGTAGCGCGCTCGCCTGGCATGCGTGCGGCCCGGGTTCAATCCTCAGCACCACATACCAACAAAGATGTTGTGTCCGCCGAGAACTAAAAAATAAATATTAAAAAAAATTCTCTAAAAAAAAAAGTAATATACCTGTGCACACACACCAATTACCAGTTACTTTATCTACAATAAAGAAATGGGGTTGGGCATGGTGATACACATCTGTAATTCCAGAAGCTCAGATGGCTGAGCAGGAGTATTGCAAGTTCGAAGCCAGCCTTAACAATTTAACAAGGTCCTAAGTAACTTAGGGAGATCCTGTCTCAAAATAAAATATAAAAAGGGCTGGGGATGTGGCACAGTGGTTAAGCACCCCTGGTTTTAGTCCCCAGTATTAAAAAAAAATGGAGAAGGGTAAAATGAAAGAATATATTACACTTCAGGAGTCAGGAGGAGGAGGTAGAACCAAATTGCTTTTTCTGAGGATGTATTCTTTGTCCATAGGAACTGGGCTCTGGAGGAAAGCAGCAAACCCCCTTTTTAGTAGATACCTCCTGACTGCTGCTGGAGCACATCAATTGCACTTCCATTCTCCATTTCCAACATGCAGATCTATTCATTTAATTGATGGCTGTCCATCAAATCAGACTCTGATTTGCCTCATTGACAACTCTCATTCACAATAGGTCTTCACTAGTTTACTCTCTGATGTGTACTTCTTAATCTTAAATTGCACCACGAAACCATTCTGCCCTACCACCTTCCAATTCATATGATCATTGTTCTCAGTCTTTAACTCTTTCCTTGGGCTTTTCGTTGACCCTGGTAAGCACAGGAATCTCTCTGAGCCCCTCACTTCATAGAAGAGGCAGCAGGTCCGTCCAGAAGAGCACACAAGCAACACCAGGAACCTCCCCATACATATTCACTGAGTGAGTGAAAGGTCTCTTCTGTGTAAGCCCTGAATGTTTTTGAACAGAATTTTTTAATGTATTTAGTAGATACATACATCCAGTATTTTCCAGTACTGAGGATTAAACCCAGGGACCTGTACTCTCTAGGCAAGAGCTCTACCACTGAGCTATACCCAAGTGCCAACCTGAATGCTTTTGGAAGAATTCTGGCCTGATGACCTTTAGTCAGGCTCTTGAGTATATTCTATAGTGGACCAAAGACTTGTGTTTCTAAGCCTTAGGTCTGGAATAAATGCTTCTGTATTCCTATTCAGCACTGATGACTGATTATACATATATATATATATATATATATATATATTTTTTTTTTTTTTTTTTTTCTTCTCCTCCTTCTCCTTCTCCTTTTCCTTCTCCTTCTCCTTCTCCTCCTTCTTCCCTTGTACTGGTGATTGAATCCAAGGATACTCTACCACTGAACCACATCCCCAGTTGCCTGCTCCCCCAAACACACACCTATTTTTTTTTTTTTTTTGAGACAGGGTATAACTAAGTTGCCAAGACAGTCCTCAAACTTGTGATCCTCCTGCCTCAGCCTCCTGA